AAAAACTAATACCTAAAAGCTTAATATAAGCTGCAATGCTTAACTGTTAAAAACTACTAACTTCTAACATGTTAATCACAGTACTAATTTAGTTAGCAACCACTTAATCTGCTAGTAATATATTGAGCAAAATGTCATTTATTCCTTTCAAAAATTATCTAAGAAAAAGCAACTGCTTGAAATAATGTATAGCAGAGAAAATAACTTAGGTTAGTTATTTGGAGTGAAAAGATTAAATGACTCATTCAACACATATCTCATAAATTTAAAAAGCATTAAAAGTGAATAAATGGGTGGGAGAACTTCCAGCAGCCTGTTGGCTGATGAGAGGTCCTAAGCTGGGTCAGACTCAATTCTCGGGGCCCTGATACCAGCTACAGCAAACATGTGATGAGCTGTCCCCGGACCTGCCCAAACTTCCTAGTAAGTATTCTGAAAAAGGAATTCTGGAGAACAGGGCAGACCCGGGCTCCACCCACCACCAAATCCTATGGTACAAGGGACCAGAAGGATACGAATTTGGGGTCTGGGTGGGAGAACTTCCATCAGCCAGGTCCCAGGCTGGGTCGGACTCCATTCTTGAGGCCCTGATTCAAGCCATCATGAACACACAGTGAGCTGTGCCTGGGTGACCAGTGTGACATTTGGCGCCAGGCTCTGCCTGCTGGCTCCCCGGCGGTAAGCTCCGGGTCCTAGGGGTATGGAAGTGCTGCCTAGGTTTGTCCATGTTGAGAGCACTGTGCCTCTGGGTTGCAAATCCATCCTGAAGGACTCCCACTGACAGAGTAGCTTTTCCTTGAAGGTAAGCGAGGGTACTGAGACCTGGTGTTTTGGAGGAGAAAGACCAGACAATCTTTGTGGGTCAGACTGATATACCAGCCTAATTTTGAGTCCTGTATAGAACTTGCTATCACCAAACAATGCTTACTACTACACCACAGTCCATGTGAAAGCTTAGGCTGGGGGTTAGTCGAGCAGGGCCAGATCCTAGTACCTGACAGAACATTGGACCAGGGGACAGGTCATACTAGGCATGGCCATGACACTAACCAGCACACAAGAGAACCATGTCTGGAGGGTAGATTCTGGGGAATGTATGGGCCAAACCCTGCGAAAATACTAGTCCCAATGGTTAGCTGAAGAGTTGGGGTGGTGGTGGCCTGAGCTAGGTGTTACCATGGAGATTGCCATCACTCATGGGTAAAGGAACCAACAACACTCTGGACTGGTCCAGGCAGTAGCACCCGAATGTGCATCCTGAATAGGGTGTGGGGTGGGCCAGGCTGTAATGTTCACCAGCTCATGGAAGGCCATGGAAGGCCAGACTATGCCAGGCACTGACCACACTCACCGCCATGTATGAGAACTAGATCTGGAAGTGGGTCAAGTGGAGTAACTTGGGAAACGCCCCAATGGGTCATAGTGAAAACATCCATAGTGAAAACATGGTCCAGGCCTGGGAGTTGCACAAGCTGGGCAAAGTAGCTCCAATGGCTGCCTAATGTGTAGGTTGGTTATGGAAGGGGGTGGACCATGGAGAGCCAAGCAAACCTTAGCTCACAAGCAAAAATAAAAATCAGGATGGAGCACAGATCACGCCAAGCTAGGCTCTTATACTGACTGGTCTGCATGCGCCAGGAATGTTAGGCCACAGAAACAAAGGCAAAAGCCAAGACAGGTGAGGGGCTATGCCAACCTGGGTCAGAGCAACCACTGGTATGTATGTGGTGTATGGCTGGGAACAGGTCCAATTGGGGAGCTAAGAGGACACCCTGGCTGGGTTGGGGTTGCCACTGGTGAGTGCAGGAGCCAGATTGGGTGCTGCGTTCTGGTCTGGGTAAGGCTGCAGTCTCCCTTGGCACAAGTGTGGGCTGGGACTGGATGCACCAGGCCGGGCTAGACTCCAGCACATTCTGTGGCTCTGGAGGACCAGGGTGGATGAAGGACAGACTAGGTTAGGTCTGTGCCCCTCCTGAGCCATGTGTGAACTGTGTTGGGGTATGGATGAACCTTGGCTGGGCTGAAGCATCCAACAGTAAGAACCAGAATGGGTTGAAGGCCAGACATGGAAAGGTCATTTTTACTACTAGGACGGGAGGTGGACTAAGTAGGGCTGGCTCATGAACCGGTGACCGCTATGCGTGAGATCTGGCATTGGGAGAGGTTCTGATGGAGGAGCGTGGGCAACTCCTCTGGCAGGACACAATTCCTGCAGGTGAGCGCAAGAACCAAGATAAGGAGCAGGCCAGGCCAGGCCAGGAAAGGTACCCACCAGCATACATTTGCACAGGTCAGGGACAGACTAGGCTGAACCAATTCACATGACCCACTGGTGAATTCAAGCACCAGAATAGTGAGAATTGGGCCAGGTTTGGTCATAACACATAGCAGTACATATTACAGCTGGGATTGAATGCCTGCTGGGCTGGGCTACATTAGACTAACCCTCACCAGTGGAAATGGAGTGGGCCAGGCTTGGCTACAGCACCAACTGGCAAATGCTGATGTGAGGGGAGCCAAGCCAGACTGCGCTGCAGTATTCAACCAGCACCTGTAGGAACCAGGGAGGGAGGGGATAAAGCTGGTAGGGGGAATATGGAGAGCCCCGCTGCTGGAACACCACTCCCACTGGAGAGAGTAAGTTGAGATAGGGGCAGATCAGGCCAGGCAGGGCAAAACACCTGTGGGCCTCATGTAAACCAGATCAGGGAATAGCCCGGCTGGTTGACTGTCCCTGCTGGTGCAGGCATACGTCAGAATGGGTGAGGGTTGGTTGGGCGTTGCCACAGCATCACCTAGCAGATGGTGGCAGTGGGGGGCTGATTCTGTCAAGTTAAACTGCAGAGCCACCTGGAAAGTGCATGATCCAGGAATGGGCCCAGGAAGGAATTAGTGGGCACCTCCCTCTTGGGTTATCACTTCCACTGGAGAGCATGAAAACCAGGATAGGGCAGAGCTGCCTGGCCAGAACGGCACCAACCAGCATGTGTATGGACTGGATAGTGGGCCTGGTTGGGTTGAACTAGGCTTCAATGCCCATTGACATAAGAGCTGAATAGGATGTGGGATAGACTGGACCAGTATGCTGTCTACATGGGCAAGCACGGGAACCAACCGAGGGGCGGGCCTGGTGGGGATTATTGTGGGTTGCTCCAATAAGACTGCATCTCTTACTGGTTTTTGTGAAGGCTGAGTGTGTTGTGGGCAGAATTAGGCTGGAATGCAACACCCATTGGTTCCTGTGGAAGACAGAACCGACCCAGCAATTGCAACCACCAGCTGACTGGGGTGATGGATTGTTCCAGGCCCTGTACTGGCAAGCACACACAAGAATCTCGTCTGGGATCACCTTGGACAGTTTCTTTGGGGATCTCCCCAATCGAACTGCCAGACTCCGAACCCCAACTATAAAGAGAAGTGCAGGTTCCATGGCCTGCCATGGAGTGCAAGTGTCCGAGCCAACCCTCCTCAGAGGCTCAGACGGAGCAGTGGATAGCATATCCAGGTGCACATGGAGGATATGGTGGTCCATTGGAACATGCAGAGGACACCTGGTACCACAACAGAGGACGGAGGATGGAGGACAGAACATATCAATCAACTCCCCCCAGTCATGTGTTGGCAGAGAAAAACTGGGCAAATGGAGACTCTAAGGTAGACACGTCAACCAGTGGATTCTGCAGTGATTTCAACGTGCTTGGAATGGTGATAGGCAACAATTCAGAACTGCTTAACTATCAAAACCACTTGTGCAATACCTTCGGAGCATGCCCCACATCAGAGACCTGGGATGGGTGGGAGGTTGGATGGGGCTTCTCCCTATATCTCTCCCTTTTACCCCAGATACAGAAAAAATAAAGCAATAATGTGGAAAAAAAATGACCATAAAAAAGTGAGTAAATGATAGTAAAGACATGTTTTTGGAAAAGTGAGCAATATTGAAGGAGCATGTTCCTAGAAGCCTGCATCTTGTAGCCATTCTTGGCATCCCGGGGTTAGGCACTAAGTTACTGCACGTGCTTATCACTCCCACTTAATAAGCCAACTGTCTTCATTAGTGGCTTAATACAATGGAAATTTGGAGTTTAAATCAGATGACAAGAACGAAGGATACTTTTAAATCAGGCTAAAACTCAAAATGATGTCAACGCATGTTCAAGTTCCATCTCATCAGAGTGGAGCCAAGCTGCTCAGCACTCCTGGGGACTCAGGCCTGGAGCACTACCAGCTCCTCAAAGGCTCCACCCTCACTGCGCGCGATGACCAAGTCCCTTCCACTTTAAACAAAGTAGCTTGCTTTTATTTAGTTATGTTCCTATTGATTTTGTCAGCCAGTTACCAAAGAACAAGGGAAGTAACTTTTAAATATAAATTTCTGTTCTGTTTTGTTCTTTCTTTAGCCTTTTTGGGTAGATAGAACCAACCTCTCCTCCTTAGCCTGTAACACTATTCTAACGCTGCCCAGCTCTCAAACTGAAAATGAAGCCAATTATGATCTTTAGGGAAGAAAAGCCAGTGTCATGAATAAAGACACATTGATGAATTACTGAAGCTTTTATAACAGAATACACTTTTAAACATGTAATTTTTTTACAAATGTTTTAATATACAATCCATATATACATTTTCAAACTTCAACATCAGCATTTTAATCATTTTTGATATAAAATGTATATTCATTGAAGAAATTATTAAAATTTTTTTTTTAGATTTATGTATTTTTATTGGAAAGTCAGATATGCAGAGAGGAAGATCTGCTGCTCATTGTTTCACTCCACCAGCAGCTGTAACAGCTAGAGCTGAGTCAATCCGAAGCCAGGAGCCAGGAGTTTCTTCTTCTGGGTCTCCCACATAGATGCAGGTTCCCAAGACTTCGGGCTGTCCTCGACTGTATTCGCAGGCTACAAGCAGAGAGCTGGGTGGGAAGTAGAGAAGCCAGGATTAGAAACGGCATTTATATGGGATCCTGGTGCATTCAAGTTGAGGACTTTAACTACTACGTTATCTTGTCGGGCCTTCAAAATAAGTTTTAAAATATTAATTCATAATTTCATTACTAAGAAATAATTTACAATCCAAATATAATCTTAGTTTACTCTGCATCATACTGTACAAAAGTTGAATTCTTACATCTTTGCAGTCTTCCTTGGTGCAGCTAGTTTTGATGCGGGTATCAAACCACCGGACAGTCCCGTCTTCACCACAAGACAGAAAAGTGTAAGGGTCATTTGGTACAGTCATGATCTGAGGACGAAAACAAGGTATGGGTAATTACTGACCATTCAACCAGAAGGCTCCGGAACACCATGTTACTGCTCACAAAACTAACACAAAGCACGCATATTAATCATTTATGACTTAGCTTTGCTGACCCAAAACTACAGATGGAAATGCATAAAACAATGCATTCATTCTTCATTACTAAAAAACCTTAATACAAACTGTAATGTCTAACTTTATCAACTACTTTTAATTTTCTGCTCCTTGTGTGTTTCAGTCATGTAGGGGACAGCAACCCAATGATTTGAGGTGTCCCCAGTGCCTCCCAGCGTCTGCAGCAGAAGAAAGCTAGCGGCAGGAGCAGATACCTCCAGCTGGGGAAGTTGTAACAGTCTGAATGCGCTGCACAGGGAAGAGTCTTATCAAAGATCTGAAGATGGAGCCTTTAGCTTACTACACCACAGCACTGACCTCAAAAAAATAAAATTTCCTACAGAGAAAATAACTTTCACATGGGAAAACACTTCCTGAACAAGAAGAAAAAGTACTAACTGCAAAATACTAACCAGTATTTCAGACAACACTTAGTACTTCTGTCCACCAAAAGGCATCATTTAGGGCCAGCATGGAGGCTCACAGGCTAACTCTGCCTTGCAGTGCCAGGATCCCATATTGGATCACCAATTCCTGTCCCAGTGGCCCCGCTTCCCATCCAGCTCCCTGCTTGTGGCCTGGGAGGGTAACAGAGGACAGCCCAAAGCCTTGGGACCCTGCGCCTGCCCCTTTAAACAAAGTTGCTGCTTGGGACAGCCACATCCTTCAGCAGAGGACTAGGGTTCAAAGTCCTGGTCCCCACTCCTAGTTCCAGTTTCCTGCTGATGCATACAGCCTGGGAAGCAGAGCAGGTGCATGGGTCCATGCCGCCCATGAGGAGACGCAGATTTCCTGGATCCCAGGTTTGGCCTGGTCTAAGCCTGGCTGTTGAGGACATCTGGGAAGTAATACCGACGATGGGAACTTGCACTCTTATTCAAAGAAATAAAATGTAGTGTGTGTGTGTACAGTATAGACAGAATAGGAGATAAGGAGATTTTTTTTTTTAAAAAGATTTATTTTTATTGGAAAGGTGGATATACAGAGAGGAGGAGAGACAGAGAGGAATATCTTCCTTCAGTTAGTTCACTTCCAAAGCAGCCTCAATGGCTAGAGCTGAGCCAATCTGAAGCCAGGAGTTCTTCCGGGTCTCCCACACGGGTGCAGGGTCCCAAAGGCTTTGGGCCGTCCTCAACTGCTTTCCCAGGCCACAAACAGGGAGCTGGATGAAAAGTGGGGCTGCCAGGATTAGAACTGGCACCCATATGGGATCCCTGTGCATGCAAGGCAATGACTTTAACCACTATGCTATCATGCCGAGCCCAAGATATTTTTTTTTTTGCAGCAAAATAAATATGATTTAATTCCACTTCACCATGAGCTTTCTCAAGTCATGATATAGGTAGATCCAAATATATTAATACTCAAAACAAATGTAAACTGACTGCACTCATCAGTGAAAACCAAAAATGTAGAGAAAGGACAAGAAAGGGAAATCTCAGTATGTACTATCCATGTAAGTGCACATCCAAACATGGGGCCACAGAGGAACTGAAATGCAAGTAACCAGATTAACACAAGGGGACCCAGTCAGTCATTTGATGGGAAGGAATGACACACAAACGCTGTAAGAGAACTTGGTAGGATGAGCAGTTTTTCTAAACCAAATGAAGTACAACTGAGCCCTGCTCATTCCATTTCATGCAACTCAACTCGGGGCTTTAGCAAATGGGCATCCTCCAGGAAGAGGACTGTCTCGTCTTGTGCACTAGTGCTCCTGCTGAGGACCTGGTAAGCATACCAGCAAAGTCTTTAGACAGGTCAATGATTTAAGGGAGACACCTAATACACAGCCCTGCATTTCAGTAGTAGCCATCTTCAAAGGCTGACAACTCGGCTTCAAGTCGGGCTGCTCCACCAATTACAACCCCAACGGAAAATTCCATCACAGTATCTTCCTATCTCCATTCACAGATCTATCAAGAAAACATCTAAACAGTCATCAATAATCTCTATGCATGCACCTGTATGTACACACATATCTACACATTCCTACCTATACACACTTACACAAATCGAACCTTATCTGTGAACACAAAACTGTACCTCATACGTAGTTCCATAATGGCACGTAAACTGGCACTGCCTGTTACTTTCCGCATCTTGCTCCACATTGGTATAAAATATCACTCCATCTCCGGAGCAGGACACAATCTGTTTATCATTCGTGCAAGGTAAGAACTTTGCACTAAACATATTTGCTCGATGCCCCGAAGGAATGTTGTCAAAACCTAAAACACACAGAAAAATTATTTTACGTAACTTGTCTCCTAGAAAGAAAAATTCCTATTTATTTTGATGATATCAAGCAATAAATTCTCATTTGCTTTCTTATGTCAATTAAAGATTACAATTTTATTTTAGAAAACCCAAATCTCACATATTTTTATTTTACTCCCTTTAAGATATGAAGAGAATCATCCACTAAAAAAATGCACAAAATAATGCCATTAAACCAAATATGCAGTTTTTATCTATTTGGTTTACCTCACTCAGTGGTAAGACTGAGTAACTAAGAACTATTTTGATGGACTTTTCAAACTGTATATTAAATAATCAATTTGCTCCCTTTTACAATGAAGAAATAAAATGAACTGGGCCAGTGTTGTGGCACAGCTAATGAATCAGCCTGCAAAACTGATACGATTATAGGCTGCTTTACCTCTAATACAGCTCCCTGATAATGATCTGGAAAAAGCAGTTAAAAACGGGCGAGCAGAACCCACAGATGGACCTCCCTCTTTCAAATTCTCCCTCCCTCTGTAGCCCTTTCAAATACACAAAAAATTATTGAACAATCAAAAACAAAAATATTAAATGAACTGTATGTACAAAATCCAATTAATGAAATGGTATAGATAAGAGCATCTAAATTCCTTCATTATATTTAACTACAAGATTTACTCTAAAAGAAATAAATTGAAACCAACATTCTTGGGTTTAGTGCGATGGCCTAGTCCTTGCAGTGCATCTGTCAGGGTTCCATATGGGCGCTGGTTCGTGTTCCAGTGGCCCCACTTCCCATCCAGCTCCCTGCTTGTGGCCTGGGAAACCAGTCAAGGATGGCCCAAAGCCTTGGGACCCTGCACCCGCATGGGAGACCCAGAAGAAGCTCCAAGCTCCTGGCTTTGGATCAACCACAATGGCCAGAGCTGAGCTCCTCCAAAGCTGGGTACAGGAGCTTAAAAAAAAAAATCATATTGTCTTTCTTCCCCAACGAGCGTTACACAGATAACGTCACTTGGGACCACTGTTAACCACTTGGGTAAAATAAGCGTGCTTTAATTTTCTGGAGACTAATGCTGAATAAAATTATTTCCTTAAGGAAACTAAGGAATTCCCATGTATTAACCTCTAAATTATATTTATATAATTAACCTTATTAAAGATAAAAATTATAAATGCCATTCCACAATTATTTAAGCTTTCTCTACCTTTTTGATTTTTTCATTACATTGTAGATTTTTTAATCACTTTACCTTTCTGATATAAGGATTACTAATTGCTAATTTGGTGTCATCTGAGCCAGATAAAATATATTCTCCAGCGTCATTCCAACAGATAGATTGTATCAACCTAAAAGGGAAGCAAAGAAAAAAAAAAGAAAGAAAGAAATTTAAGCAAATTAGGCATCAAAGGGAGATTTCCATATTTCACTTACCTGACGGTACAAAATTTATATCACTAAGAAGGTTATTACTACAATAAAAAGCACTTAACAGTTTCTTCATTGAAAAAAAAAAAAAACAGACTCTGGCTTTTGTTCTACTATATGAAGACTAGAAGTTACCACACCATGCTAACAAGTAAAAAAACTAACAAACTGCACAATCAAAACTTCTATTACGTCCCTTGGAGCAGTAACGACATAGGAACACCGTTTCTACCAAAATGAAGCAACAGGACAGACTGGCATGGTGCGGCAAATTCAAGTCCTAGACACTGCACTCCCAATGCAGCTCCCGGCTAGTGCACCTGGCAAGAGTGGAAACGGCCCAAGTCTGGGTCCCTGCCACCCACGTGGGAGACCCAAATGGAGTTCTCGGCTTCTGGCTTTAGTCCGGCCCAGTCCAGTCCTGGCTCCTGGGACCATCTGCGGGTGAACCAGCAGATGTAAGTTCTTGCTCTGTTCTCCCTCTCTCCATGTCGCTCTTCCGTCAAATAACTCAATCTTCAAAAAGAGAATGAGAGCAACAGATTAATACAGAAGCTTGGCTTACTGGAAGAGAAGGTAGAAACCTCTGCGGGAAGCAGTGTCACAGCAAGCTCTGCATTGTGACTGAGGAACTGGGGGAGGCCCAAAGGACAACCCTGATTATTAAAACCTACAAGGGGAGTGGATTATGTGAAGGTCCATACTGCTTCAACTCCAGGGCCTCTAGAGGCTCTCACAGTAAATTCCAGAGAAAAATACCCTGTGTTTCAAGCAGGATAAAGGGAAAAGGAACCATTTTGAAACCCACTAATCTATTACACTTACTAAGGTCTGCTGTCAGCAGAAGCTGTTCAACCACAGCTTAACCTACAAAGATGTGCAGAGCCTTACGGACCTGCTCCAGCCTGCCCACCTCCAGCCCACTTGCCCACTCTCTCCTGGGTAAGAAGGCGGGGAGGCAATGAAAACTCATGGTGAGGTTCACAGGCCAGACACAGGGTCACTGAAACTCAGGGATCCTTGGGCTGGCCCTGTGTCGTAGCAAATTAAACCACTACCAGCAGGGCTGGCATCCCATAGGGACATCGGTTCTAGTTCTTGCTGCTACACTTCCATTACAACTCTGCACAAAAGGTCTGGGAAAAGCAGAAGATAGTCCAGGGTTGTGGGCCCTGCCACCCACATAGGAGACCTGGAAGAAGCTCCTGACTCTGGCCTGGCTCAGCAACGGCTGTTGTGGCCACTAGGGATAGAAGACCTCTCTCACTCTCTCTTGCATCTCTTCCTCTCTGTGTTATTCTTTCAAATAAAATAATAAATAAATAAATAAATAAATAAATAAAAGCAAGCTACAGAGATCTAGAAACAAAATAATAAAATACGATCTCTTTATCTTTAATTATATATTTCTCCAAGATTTATTTGTATCAGTTCCATTTATCTGGTCTGTTATCCAGTCTTAAGGGAAGAAAAATCACAAGGAACACTAAAAGACAAAAAATACACTTTGAAGGTACAGGACAGGCATCAGCATGAAACTCCTGGAGCTTCCAGACTGGGGATATGAACAACTAACATGAACCTGCTAAGGGCTCCAATGCACCAATTCAACAGCACGAAACGGCAGGCACAAAGATGGAAATTCTAAGAAAGAATGAAAAGGTTGTAACAAAACTGAAGAATGCTTCTGATGTGATATGAGCACCCTGGACATGGCCGAGGGAAGAAATCTCCAACGTCAGGAACACATCAATAGGAACCTCCTAAACAAAGCAAAGACTGGAATACAGAGGAACAGCGCAGGATGTGGGAAACTTAGAACAGGTGTAACTACAGGCGATGGAAATACCAGAAGGGGAAGAAACAGGAAGAGAACATCTGGAACAATGACAGAATTTCTCCCAAACTAATGTCACAAACCAAACCAGATTCAGAAAAGGTCAGGGAACAGTCAGAATAAACAGCCAAAGACTTTACTAGGCTATCATGTTTAAGCTACAGAAAATCAAAGATAAGGAAAGTATCTTGAAGGAAACCAATGGGGGCAGGGAAGCCTTTAGCTACAGAGGAACAAAACTACATGAGCATTGTCCTCAGAAAGCATAAACAAGGAGAGCACAATAAAACGTTTAAAGCACTGAGAGAAAAATATATAATCCAGAATTCTTTACCCTGAAAAACTATATTTCAAAATAGGAGAAATAAACATTTTCTCAGCCAAACACACACTGAGGAAATTCCTAAGAACCACTTCCCACAAATGTAGACCAGATATCTGGATCTGCACAAAGGAGTATGCCACAGGAGGAATAAGTAACGGAACTGCACTTAACTAATCTAAAAGATCAGTTATTGTTGTTAATATGCTAATAGCAAAAGTACATTCAACTATGGTTGCTTATAAATACATCACATATAAGACTACACTTATATGTATTCTTACAAATCAGTAAAATGAGAGAAATAATATAAGGTATAAGAAGGAAGACTTCTGCCTGTGTCGTGCAGGTCTAGATACACATGGGGGGCATGATGGCCAGCAAATCTTGGCCAGCAGAAGACATCAACAGCCTCGCTAGAGGATGGAAAGCAGGACAGGCTGGACAATTCCGGCCACCCTCTGCAGCTTGTTCCTGGGTCTGTGGATGCACTAAGGTGGACTTTGCCAACCAGTAGACCTTGGCAAGGTTTCCTCAACCTTGGAGCAACAAAGCTGACACCATCTCAGGGCTACTGCAACCACTGGGTAATACCCTTGGAACACTCTTCCCCACACAGGGGTCTCTAACATGACATCAAATGACTGTCCTCCATCCCTGGGTGCTGACAGTGTAACAGCAAGAAATAGCCCTCTTCCTTCCTCCCCTGCGGACGCAGGAAGACAAAAATAAAATTGACATTTGTCCCACCCACCATCCTTCATACCTGATGCTCCCCACCACAAGCAAATGTCCACATGGCCATTCCTCTAGAGTACATAAACAATATTAAAAATAAAATAGAAAAAGAGCCAAATTACTAACACTGGAGGTGAGAAAAGGGATCACAAGGGGCCCTAAAAGGAAGAATTCTCTTCCCCAGCTGTCTGATAACCCAGACACACTGGACTAACTCACTAATTCCAGGAATGATGCAATCCGCCAAACCTTCACACTAGATCAAGGATCTGAACAAGACCACGTCCACTCAGCAAATGGAACTAGTGCCAGCTCTGTGGCACAGGGCGTTAAGCTGCTACCTGCAACACAGGCAACTCAGTGCACATCGGTTCAAATTCTGGCTGTTGCACTTCGGATTCATCTACCTGCTTCTGAGCCAAGCAAAGCAAGCAGCGGCCAATGGCCAGGGTACTTGGGCCCTAGAACCCACGTGGAAGACTGAGCTGAGGCTTCTGGCTCCTAGTTTCAGCCCAGCCACAGCTATTATGGCCATTTGGGTGGAAAACCAGTAGATGCAAGATTACTTTCTCTCTTTGTAACTCTGCCTTTCAAATAAATAAATCTTTTATATATATATATGTATATATATATATATGTATATATATATATATAGTAGCAGAAGAAGGGCCAGCTCCATGGCCTAGCAGGTTGGCGTCTGCCTGCAGTGCCAGCATCCCATATGGGTACAGATTCTATTCCAGCTTCCCACTTCTAGTCAGACTCCCTGCTTATGGCCTGGGAAAGTAGAAGAGGATGGCTCGAGTCCTTGGCCCTGGCACCCACAAGGGAGACTCAGGAAGCTCCTGGCTCCTGTCTTCAGACTAGCTCAGCTCTAGTCATTCTGGCCATTTTGGGAATGAACCAGTAGATGAAAGATCTCTCTGTCTCTTCTTCTAATTCTGCCTTTCAAAATAAAAATTAAAATCTACTGTACTATTTTTAAAAAGAATAATGATTAATCTTTTGAAATAAGCACTTTTGATAACCTAAACACAATGAACTAATCCAGTAATTCCTTCAATGACACAATCTGCCAACATTTACAAAAGAGTAAATAGGCCAGCTGAACAGGACTATGCCCATTATAAGAATGGAATTAACAGTTAAGAACCTTTCCAGACAGGAAGTACAAAGCGCAAGTGGATTTGTTGGTAAAAGTTACTGCAGGTTAAACAAAGAAATTCCAGTTGTCTACAATCTCTGAGATGCAGAGGGAATATTTCCTAATGCAGCCTATGAACCAACCCATCATTAACCTAATAACAAAACCACACAGACATTACAAATAAACTGTAACTCAGTGTCTCTCATGGACATGGATACAAAAACCTTTAATAAAATATCAGCAAATCACACTGAGCGATGTGTAACAAGATTCATACACCACAACCAACTGGTTTTCTTCCAGCCATACAAAGCCAATCCAGCATCAATAAACCAAAGAAGAAACATCACACAATCATCAGCAACAGATGCAGAAAAAGCATCTGACCACATCTAACATCCACTAGTGATTTAAAAAGCAAATTAGGAACAAAGCAGACATACAGCAACTCAATAAAGAATTTCTACAAAAACCCTGTAATAATTATACTTAACAGTGAGAAACTAGGAGCCTGCTACGAACATTAGGAACAAGACACATCTTTTCTTTAACACTGTCCTCCTGGAAGCTCTCACGAACACATTAAGACAAGAAAAGGTATGCAGATTCGGAAATAAGAAGTCAAACCTTTACTCACAGATGCGAACATGATCAAACTAGGAAACACAAAGACAAAAATACTTCTGGGACAAGTGATGACAGCCACATAGCAGGTAAAGGTTAATAAACAAAGTCAATCATTTTTTTATATAGCAATGAAGAAGAATTTTAAACACAAAAATCCATACATTTTACATTGCAAAACTTAAATACTGAGATATAAATATAATACTTTATGTATAGGATCCCTGAAGAAAACTCCCAAACTGTCAAAGAAGTAACTTTATAGGAAGCTATTCCATGTTAAAAGTTAGGAAGCTTCAATGTTTTCAAGATGTTTTCCATCCTGGTACACAGACTCAGTGAATTCCAATTAAAATCCCCTCAAGTTCTGTAGATATCAACAAATATATTTCAGGTCTCCATTTGGTACAGGCCATCCACCATGGCCATCCTCATGTAGCATCTCGAGGTGCATCAGGTTCACACTTGGCTCTGGCTCTTGACGCTCACTTCCTGTTATTGCAAACCCCCAGCATCAGCATTGATGGTCCAAGTAACCGGGACCCTGCCGTTCATGTGGGAAATACGAAATGAATTTCCAGATCCTGGCTTCTGCCCAGCCCAGCTCCAGCTGCTCTGGGCGTCTGAGGAATGAACCAGCACACGGGAGCACTCTTTTCTCTCAGATACATTAACACTAATAACTTTAACAATAATACGATGCTGTGCTTCACCGATGTCTACAGTCTCTGAGAAATGACTATTACATCTAGAGAGATGCGCTCAGAGACCTCACAGAGCAGTGAATGAGGGAAACCTTTTAAAGGTTAGAAAACTGATCGGTGCTTCAAACATTCTTGCATATACTCTTCTATATTTTCATGTAAAGCTTTATTCTCCCAATTATCTAGTTATTCATTACCTGTTTTGTAAATTCTGGGGCAATTTACCAAACTTTAAATACTGAAGTCCCTTTTAGTTCATACAGAATTAACTATTACTTACACAGCCATCATGCACATTTAAGGTGGCTTCAAGTTTTAATCTTTGGAAAAATTCTCTTCTTCCTGTTTTAAAAAAAGAGAGAGATAAACAAACCACACAATCTATGCTGAGGAAAGTCCAACACTTGAAGAGCCCCGGACCTAGCTAAGCAAGGCAAATGCTGGCTCCAACTCCAGCTCTGCCACTTATAAACTGAGCGACACTCGGCAAATTAACTTCCAGGGGCTTCATTTCCCTGCAAGATTACCAACTTCATGTGGCTAATGTAAGAATTCAATGATTGAAGGACAGAAAAGGCTTAGCAGAATCTGAACCACAGTGAACATCCAACATTTCTTCATTCATCCACTCATTCAATGAGCGTACTGAGTACACTCCTCCAGGTAGCATTCCAGGAGCTAGAAATACAACGGTAAGATGAAGCAAGATCTCCACCCTCTGTGATAGGAGATATATACACCAGGTCAGGAGCCAGCACTGTGGCACAGCTCGATAAGCTGCTCTGTGCAATACTGGCTTGGGTCTTGGTTGCTCCACTTCCAATCCAGCTCCCTGCTGCTGTGCTGGAAAAGCAGCACAAGACAGCCCAAACCCCGGGCCCCAGCCACATGCATGGGTGACTCTGATGGACTTCTGGGTCCCCGGCTTTAGCTTGAACCAGTCCTGGCCATTGTGGCTGCCTGCGGAGCAAACCAGCCAACAAAGAGCTTCTAAGAACATCAACAAGTCAGTAAAGTTCTTCTTCAATCAGATGGTGCATAATTAACTTTCAAATCTGATTTATAGCTTTAAAAATATGCTAACTACACCACACAGATAAAAAGTTTGACAAAATTATTTTCGGTCAAAAGCAGGCTTAGCAATCCTGCTAAAATACAGAATGAAAATAAGTAACAACATAGCAAACTAACAAGTAACAGCAATCAGAACTCATTAAAACACTGAATATTAGAAACATTTCTTGTCCCCAATTTCTAAAGTCTAGATTTGACAATCTGGCTCTGGTCATACTGGTCTGGAGAACATGGGATGTTTAACTTGAGGGAATACATGAGATCTGTACATCTGATCTCCAGTACATGACGCAATCAAAAACTCCTGAAAAGCATTTTTCTATGTGACTCCGGAGATAAAACTATCCAATCCACACATCCCACAGAGTGTGCTTCTATAAGCTAAAAAACAACACAGGTAAAAACTAAGTTTCCGAATGCTATTAAAAACCATGATGGGTCCGGCCTATTTGCAAAGCCAGCCAATTAGCCCGCCACAGTTCTGCAGATGGGGCAGGAGACACAAGACTCCTCGGAGGCAAAGGGTTTTACTGTCCACAGCAAAGCAGGCACTGGGCACTTCAGGGTCCACATTGGTCCCCTCTGTCCCTGGCTCCCATAAGGCAGCTCAGAGAGGCCTGGATGGATGTTGTGCATGTAATGGCTGAATCACACTGAGGAACCCTGAGCTGAGGGGATCCAAATCTTCCAACAAGCAACCCTGCCTGGGCCCTCATTTTGAAGGGAAACATCATCTTTATTCTACTAGACGATAAACAAATGCGTCCTCTGCTCCAGAGACACACTGTGTCTCCCAAAGCCATTCACTGCAGAACCACCATTGCAAAGACAGTGAAAAGGACAGCCAGTGCCTCTTTCACAACAGGCACAGAAATATCAAAGAGCCATAAAGAATCCTCTCCCAACAACCACACGCTATTATGGGTGAACTCACTATTGTGGCTTTCTAATCATCTTTCTGAACTCCACACTGGGTTTTATCCTACATTCCACAAAGGGCTCAAAAAGGAACTGTTTTGCTCACCCAAGTATTATAAGGACCTAGAAAAACTGCCCAGCATCGAGTATACATTCAACAGACATTTGCTGAGTCAATAAGTAAAAAGGCGGGCAACAGCATTCTATTTTGTAGTCCGTATTTTCATTCAATAACATGACAAGCATTTTTCAATGACAATACAGCTATTACTCACTTTTTATGATTGTGTAATGTATTACACAGCTGTTACTAATATATTTTAAAATCCATGCTCCTTACTAGACTATGAGATACAGAAGACATAGATTTAAACTTCCAACTTGGAACATTCTATACTTATACTGGAGAAAAAAAACTATCAGTGCAAAAATAGAATAATACTTTAACTTCACAGGTTTACTGTAAGGTGAAATTTAACACATGTAAAACTCAGAAATGTGCCTAATATACTCTATATAAATTAGTTCTCCCTGGGTTTGTGGACGTAACAAATTGAGCCACTGCCAACACTGGCATCCCATATGGCCACAGGTTCGGGTCCAGATGTTCCACTTCTGATCTAGCTTCCTGCTAAAGGCGTGGGAAGAGCAGTAAAGAGATGATCCAAGTGTTCAGACCCCTGCCATCCATGTAGGGACACCCGGAAGGGGCTCCTGGCTCCTTGCTTCTACTTCACCCAGCCTCAGCCAGCAGGTGGCAAGATCTCCATCTTTCCCTCCCTCCCTGTAACTTTTTCAAATAAATCAATAAATAAATCTTAACCCCCCCACACACACAGTTCTCTATGTACCTGTGAGATTCTTCTAAGTTATTACTTTCTAAAAAGCGATGATTAACAAAAAACCTGTAACTTCATTAACATCTTCCTGGTCAAAGAAAAAAATGTCAGGCTAGTAACACTAAGAAGGAGAAATGGAAAGGCACTTTAACAAAATTCTTACTTTGTTTTATCTAGCTCTTCTGTCCTCAGAGATACTATCCAATGTCAAACTTCCCAGTCAGCTACATAGGCTGCTTTCCCTAGTTCATCCCCGGGTCTTCACTTTTGTGAACTGTCCTTCAGTTCATTTAGATTGTTACAATGAAATATTTTAGACTGGGTATCACAAAAGCAACAGAAATTTACTCCTCATAGTACAGGAGGCTAGGGAAGCCAAGATTAAGGAACCAACAGGCTCAGAGCCTGGGGAGGGTCTCTCCTTCATAAAGCACCTTCCTGCTACACCCTCAGATCGCAAGAGCGAACAAACTAGCTTTTGTAATGCATTAACTTTCTTGGTGAGGGTGCCAACCTCGTGAGCCAATTAATCTCGCTATCAGCGCTCAGGGAACAAGGATTTGCATGGACAGTTCTGGAGCACGTGGACATCCCAATCACAGCAGTCTCTGCTGTCCCACCTCCCCTGGGTTTTGTCTGCAAACATCTTGGCTGATCGGCAAATCCAATCATCTTTTCAAAGCCACATTTTTTATGACCTATCAGTCAACTGCTTTCTTCTTGAAAGCAACTTTCATCTTTGCAGAGGATGAGGTGGCTACCATTTAACATCTTAAAGAAAACAGCAAAAATTAGCCCTTGTCTGGGAGAGCACAGGGATGAGACGTCACTCGTGATTCAGGCCATTCTCCCAGAGAAGCCAAAGCTGGAAGCCACCAACGGAAACCCTGCAAAGCAGGGTCTGCACAAAGAAAAGCAGGAAACCCTCACAGTCCTGCTTCACAGTCCCACTGCTCCCAGGGAGGGGCACAAACTGCCCGTCCTCCAGGTAGGGGTGGGGATCCCCAAACAACCCTCCCAGCAAACTTCCAATGAACAAACACTGGAAAAAAAAAAAGTAGTTCTGAAATGTGTCAGCTTGGTTAGAATTACTATTTCCCAAGAGTGCTTCCACGCAGGTTTCTGGTAGAGATGGGTCACCAAGCACTTCTCCACAGTATCTGGGGGCAGAAGCAACAGCCACCCTGGACCGTAAGCTCCGAAGGCAGGAGCAGAAGGCCGTGCAATTCACAGCTCACACACATTACTGCTTATCCGCAGCCATACCTTGTTGGAATGAGCTGTACTTTGTTGGAACAAGCTGCAGCTAAGCCTGACTCACTTTTCACTGGATCCCCTTTTGCCTCCTTAAATATCGTGCTAACTGCTTATCTGCTGCTGTGCATTCGGTCAGCAAACGATGCTGACTTTTCCCCCAGAATAGCTACATCGGTAATGCTGTAGTCAGTGAGAACTGACAAGGATTCCGTGTCCCAGGAGGATCCAGCTCACGTTCCTGCATTCAGGCCTGCCCATACTTCCCCACCTTAACAATTCCTTCCCTTCCCAACTGCCATGTGGATGTCAAGCCCTAGATTCAGATACGAAGCAAACAGCCTCACAAAGCCTATTTAATGAGTTCCCACAATTATAGAAAGCTAACTCCCTATAGCACATCGGTGTGCTTCCATTTATCTGAATAATAACCCCATTCCTCAGCTAGATGCTCTGAATTCAGAACAGAGGGAAACACCTTAACCCTAATAAAGAACACATATTGGGCCCGGCGGCATGGCCTAGTGGCTAAAGTCCTCGCATTGAATGTGCCGGGATCAATATGGGCGCCAGTTCTATCCCAGCAGCCCACTTCCCATCCAGCTCCAAACTTGTGGTCTGGGAAAGCAGTCGAGGACAGCCCAAAGCCTTGGGACCCTGCACCCGCGTGGAAGACCTGGAAGAGGTCCCCGGTTCCCAGCTTCAGACTGGCACAGCACCAGCCATTGCACTCACTTGGGGAGTGAATCATCAGACGGAAGATCTTCCTGTCTCTCCTCCTCTCTGTATATCTTTCCAATAAATAAATAAATATTTAAAAAAAACCAAACCACATATTAAAAAGCACACAGTGCAGTATGGTGAAATCAATCAAGACTGGTTCTTCATGATCTGGCTCACAAGAGGCCCACAGGTATTGTACCCCGTAGCCCTGCCTGGCCTGATCTTTCCCCATCTCAACTCAGGCTCTCCAGTGGGAGTGGTGTTCCAGTAGCGGGGGGGCGGGGGGAGGGGGTAGGAGGGCCCTCCAATTTCCCCCTACCAGCTTTACCCCATCCCTCCCTGGTTCCTACATTTGCTGGCTGAATACTGCAGCGCAGTCTGGCTTAGCTCCCTTCACTTCAGCATTTGCCAGTCGGTGCTATAGCCAAGCCTGGCCCACCCCCATTTCCACTGGTGAGGGTTACAGTCTAACCTAGCCTAGCCCAGCAGGCACCCAATCCCAGCTGTAATACGTACTGCTATGTGTTGTGACCA